TATATATTTTTAATTTCATTTTACATCCTACCCACAGTTCCCCACAACCTCCCTCCCAGCCCATAGCCATCCACTCCTCTGTAGGGTAAGGCCTCCTACAGGGAGTCAATAAAGCCTGGCACATTAAGTTAAGGTAGGACCAAGCCCCTCCCCCTGCTTTAAGGCTGAGCATGGCATCCCGCCATAGGAAATGGGCTCCAAAAAGCTAGCTCATATACGAGCAAGGATCCTGGTTCCACTGCCAGGGGCCCCTCAGAACGACCAAGCTGTACAATTGTCTCCCAAATGCAGAGGGCCCAGTTTGATCCCATGGAGGCTCCACAGCTATTGGTCTAGAGTTCCTGAGTTTTCATGAGCGTGGTTCAGCTGTCTCTGTAGATTTCCCTGTCCTGATGTTGACCTCGCTTGCTCATATATTCCCTCCTCCCTTTCTTCAACTGGATTTTTGGAGCTTGGCCTGGTTGTGGTTGTGGATCTCTGCATCTTGCTCCATCAGTTACTGGATGAAGGTTCTATGATGACAGTTGGGGTATCTACCAATCTGATTACAGGAAATGGCCAGTTCAGGCATTCTCTCTACCATTGCTAGGAGTCTTAGCTGGGGTCCTCCTTGTGGATTCCTGGGAATTTCCCTACCACCAGGCTTCTCCCTCACCCCTCATGGCTCCTTCTATTAAGATGTCTCTTTCATTGCTCTCCTGCTCCCTCCTTCAACGTGACCACCCCGTTCCCTCATGTTCTCTTCCTCCAGTCCCTCTCCTCCACCATACCCTCTCACCCCCAGTTTACCCAGGGTCTTCTTTATTACCTAGCTTCTCTGGAGCTGTGGACTGTAGTCTAGTTATCCTTTGCTAGAGTGAGTACACACCATGTTTGTCTTTCTGAGTCTGGGTTACCTAGCTCAGGATTTTCTTTTTTCCCCTAGATCTGTCCATTTGCCTGCAAATTTCATGATGTCATTGTTTCTTACAGCTGAGTGATACTCCACTGTGTAAATATACCACATTTTCCTTATCCATTCTTTGGTTGGGGGCATCTGGGTTGTTTCCAGGTACTGGCTATTACAAATAATGCTACTATGAACACTGTTGAGCAAGTGTCCTTGTGGTTTGATTGAACATCCTTTGGGCATATGCCAAAGAGTGTTATCACTGGGTCTTGAGGTAGATTGATTACCAGTTTTCTGAGAAACCGTCCTACTGCTTTCCAAAGTGGCTGTTTAAAGTTTGCATTCCGACCAGCATTCCATGACTTGACATCCTCTTGGACATAAGCTGTTCTCAATATTCTTGATTGTAACCTTTCTGATAGATGTAAGGTGGTATCTCAGAGTCATTTTGGTTTGCATTTCCCCGATGATTAAGGATGTTGAGTGATTCCTTAAATGTCTATGGGTCATTTGTGATTCTTCTGATGGGAATTCTCTGTTTAGCTATCTACCCTATGTTTAAATTGGGTAAGTTTATATCTTGATGTCTAGTTTCTTGAGTTCTTTATATATCTTGGCGATCAGCCTTCTGTCAGATGTGGGGTTGGTGAATATTGTTTCCCATTCTGTAGGTTGTTGTTCTGTCTTATTGACCATGTCGTTTGCCTTGCAGAAGCTTTTCAGTTTCAGGAGGTTCCATTTATTGATTGCTGCTCTCAGTGTCTGTGCTATTAGTGTTATAATTAGGAAGTAGCCTCCTATGCCAGTATGTTCAAGGCTACTTCTTACTTTCTCCTCAGTCAGGTTAGGTGTAACTATATTTATGTTAAGGCTTTTGATCCACTTGGACTTCAGTTTTGTGCATAGCGATAGATATGGTTCTATTTAAAATCTCCTACATGCTGACATCCAGTTATGCCAGCACTATATGTTGAAAATGCTTCTATTTCCTTAGGGATTATAGGTCTCTTTAAATTATTTATGTGGTTTTGGTTTAATTTTGGTATGTGGTATATACCCAGAAAATTGTCCATTTCTTTTAAATTTTCCAATTTTGTTGAAGTACAAGTTTTTAAGTATGACCTGAAGATTCTCTGGATTTCCTCAGTGTCTGTTGTTATATGCTCCTTTTCATTTCTGCCTTTGGTTAATTAGGATAAGGGTTTGTCTATCTTGTTGAATTTCCTGAAGAAACAACTCTTTGTTTCTATTTTATTGTTTTCAGACCTCACTTTGATTATTTCCTGGCATCCACTCCTCCTGGGTGAGTGAGTTTGTTTTTGTTCTAGAGCTATTAGGTGTTTTGTAAATTTGTTAGTGTGAAATTTCTCCAACTTCTCTATGTTGGCATTTAGTGAAATGAACGTTCCTCTTAGTACTGCTTTTATAGTGTCTCATAAGTTTGGGTATGTTGTACATTCATTTTCTTTGAATTCTAGTTAGTCTTTAATTTCTTTATTTCTTCCTTCACCCAGTAGTGATTCAGTTAAGCATTATTCAATTTCCATGGGTTTGTAGGCTTTCTGGAACTTGTGTTGTTGTTGTATTCTAACTTTAAGCCACGGTGATAAAATAAGATGTAAGGAGTTATTCCAAAATTTTTGTATCTGTTGAGGTTTGCTGTGTTGAATGTGGGGTTTAAATGAGTCCACCAGACCCAATACGAATGATAATTAGGTATTTGTTAGGGAAGCACTCACACAGATAAGAGTAAATAACGACTTCTGTCTTCCTGCTCCAGAAGATACAGTCTCTGCCCTTCTGCTGCTGAAACCCAAAAGAGAGAAAGCCAGTCCCTCCTCTACCTTATAAGGGGTCACATCTGAACCTGAAACCATGCCCAAAGGCTGTGGCCACCACCACAAGTTCATTGGCAAAGCAAGATGCCACTACACTTTGTGCCATAGTAAATGGTCAGTTTTAGAGGTCCCATGAGATGCTGAGAAGAAGCTGTATTTTGTGTTTGGGTGTAATGTGCTATAGATGTCCAGTAAACCCATTTGCGTCATAACATCTGTTACCTTCTCTATTTCTCTGTTAAGTTTCTGTCTGGCAGAACTGTCCATTGGTAGGATGGGTTATTGAAGTCTCCCACTATTAGTGTGTGTGGTTTGATGTGCTATTTAAACTTTAGTAATGTTTGTTTTACAAATGTTAGTGCTCTTGTATTTGGGGCATGGATTTTTGGAACTCAAATTTTATGTTGATGGATTTTTCCTGTCATGAGTATTAAATATCCTTCATCACTTTTGATTACCTTAAATTTGAAGTCTCCACCAGCTTTCTTCTTAGGTACATTGGATTGGAAAGTTTTCCCAACCCTAAATTTACTCTGAGGCAATGTCTGTCTTTGAAGTTGAGGTTTGTTTCTTGAATGCAACAGAAGCATGGTTCCTATTTTCATATGTATTCTGTTAGCCTGGGTCTTTTTATAGGCAAATTGATATTAAGGGTTTAATTACCAGTGATTGTTAATTTTTGTTTTTGTTGATAGTGTAGGTGTATGTTTCCCTTCTTTGTGATTTGCTTGTGTGGGATTACCTATTGCCTGTGTTTTCGTGGGTGTAGCTAATTACCTCAAGTTGGAATATTCCTTCTAGTTCTTTGATTAGGGCTGGATTTGTTGCTAGGTATTGTTTAAATCTGGTTTTGTTATAGAATTTCCTCTATAGTGATTGATAGTTTTGCTGGGTATAGTAGTCTGGGTTGGCATCCATGGTCTCCTAGTGCCTGCATAACAACTGTCCAGGACCTTCTGCCTCTCAGAGTCTTCATTGAGAAGTTGGGTGTTATTCTGTTTATTTTGTGTTTTGATTATTATGTGGTGAGAAGACTTTTCTTTTTTTTCCCCCTGGTCTACCAGTCTATTCTGTGTTCTGTAAACTTCTTGTATCTTCATAGGCATTTTGTCTTTAAGTTGGGAAAGTTTTCTTCTATGATGGTGTTGAATACATTTTGTGTGCCTTTGAGGTGGTACTCTTTTCATTCTATCCCTATTATTCTTATATTTGGTCTTTTCATGGTGTTCCACATTTCCGGGAAGTTTTGTGTTATGACTTTGTTGGTTTTCTGAAATTGTTATTATCTTCCTGGGTTGTGTCAACTTTTAGAAAGATTTAGATAGTATTAGTGCTGTCTAATGGTGATTTTTCATGGTTATCAAATTATTCTCATGAAATAACAGAATTTGATTGTATGTGTCAATTGGAACATTGGATAAATGCACTGTTATACACCTGACTGTTTAAAGAAGAAAAACACTGTCTTTTGATTTATCCATGAATTCTTCAGTCCGTATTCTGCCTCCTTGTTCCAGAAAGGGTGCAGCATTGTACCTAGGCATCAGGATCTCAACTGAACATCTTAGAGTAGAGTCAGGTGAGGATCGGCTGCAGACAGGATTGATCCAGTGTCCATACTGGAGTAAGGCTGGCAGTTGTAGCATTTGATAGCAGAGTTTTACTCACCATAATTTTACCATCTGAGCTATGACACTGGGATCCTGTTTTATAAAGGAGTTCTTAAACATACATTCCTGAATCTCGTCCTCAAATGTGTACCTGACGTTTCCTAAAACTTTGCTGATTGTAAGACTATTATGTCATACTGTTTAGAAATCTTTTATTAAAGTTAAATTTTACTGTCATATTAGGTGTGTGAGTATATTTGCCTGAATGGATGTTTGTGTGCTCCAAATCCTGTGTATAGAGTTCAAAAGAGACCATTGGATCCCATGGAACGAGGGTGACAATCTGTTGTGTAGTGCCATGAGGGTGCTAGGAACTGAACTGCATTTTAAAAGACATTACAGAGCCTGGACTGGGAAGAAAACTTAAAAATGTAGTAATTGTGACAAATTCTTTATCTGCTGCTCAGGTCTTAGAACACATCAGAAAATTAATGGAGGAGAGTGATCTTATGAATGTAAGCAATGTGGTAATTACTTCTATGCTTTGTCTCTGGAAAAGCAGACAGTGCTTATCTTTTGACTTATCTCTGCAGCCCCTCTAGAAAACTTCTTTCCTTGAATAATTTCCATGCCATGTCTGTACCATAAAAGTGTCTGTAATTCCTTAGGTCTTTTTTATGTAGAAATGCATTTTGTTCAGTAGCACATGATAAATAGTTAATTTTCCATTACAGGATCTGTTAATATTCAAGGACGTGGCTGTGGACCTCTCACAAGAAGAGTGGGAATGTCTGGACTGTGCTCAGAAAGAATTGTACATGGATGTGATGCTGGAGAATTACACCAATCTAGTCTTTGTTGGTAAGAATCATCTTCTTTTAGAATTCCTGATTCACCCTTAGTAGGCATCTGCTCTATAGGCCTGTAACAGTGGCCACACCCCTTTGGGTGTGGTTTCATTGGGTGTGGACGGCAGCGGAAAGAGACCAGCTTCTGGTGTGGCTTTCCTTGTTGCGCTTTTTCTGGTAGGTCAGAGGATCCGGTAGAAAGAGCAGGGAAATGATCCAGCAGTTCTTTGTATTTTTCTGTGTAATTGTTCCACAATAAACAACCATTTATCATTTATCTTGGGTCTAGTGATATCATTTCATCCTCACCTTCAATGCTTTGTATTTACCTGCTTTGTGCATGTAAACTCTGTACTGGCTAGACACTCCCAGAAATAAGAAAAGTTCTGGTTTTGAATGTAACATTTTTATTGTCCTTCCTTTATATTTTTTTATTTTCTCTGGAAGAATAACTAAGGCTATATTCTTGATATCTCCAGCGCTCCTACCTAGTTTTGAAAGAAAACTTCAAATTGAAAAATTGAATATTCCCAACATTTTGCTGTACAAATAATTGGAATGTTTTGATTTTCTGTTGGATTAAACTTTACCTATTTTTTTATTTTCAAATTCGAGAAGATATCAAATAGAGATAGAGCTTTTAGTAGTATGTTGTTATTTTGTTTATTCACTCAGTGTTTTAGACGTGGTCTCTGTGTTTAGTCCTGGAACAGCTTGATTTTAATCCTATCAGTAGGGAGGCTGAAGCAAGATGATATTATAAATTCCATGCCAGCCTGGGTTATGTGATGAGTTCCAAGCTGACTGTGACTACACAGTATGATTCTCAAGAACATAAATAAGAAAATAGAAACATTCTTTATATACCCTTCAGAGTGAACCTTTCATTATTGTTCTTGCTCTATCATGTATTGCCCTAACTTCTGCAAAGTACACAGTTTAGTTAAGAAGGAGAAAGGTATCATTAGTCCCTGTGGTTTGATATAGATCAAATTGAGGGTTCTGCTCCTGTAACTCTTACCCATACTCCTGTTAGTAAACCCAATAAAAATTGTTGACACACCAACTTGCACTCTGATGTAATCATTGCTTTGGTCTGCCATGGGTTCTCTGAGATGAGTAGACAGGTGTGTCTTGTTCCCTCAGGAAACTTACACAACACATCCAATTCATGAATGTGAAACAGAGAAGACCTCTGCTGTCTCCACTCTACCTGAAAATTTCTGGTTTACATGTCTTAATTAAACTTAAGAAAACATCAGTTATTGAATGTTTTACTCATGCATTATTCCTTATTATCTCCGATTGTTCTAATTTTCCAGAGAACCATTTCATGTGTGATAAATATGAAAAGGTCTCCGATCAAGACATGAAGAATGTCCTCTATGAACTTGTGAATATCCAAGAGAAGTCTTATAAGTGTAATGTGTTTGGCCAAGTTATTCACGAATCCTCCCAGTGTGTTCTTTACAACACAAGTGATACTGCAGAAAATTGTAACCAGGACAGATTTGCTAACCACAGAGATGCCTATACTGAATCATTAAATGTAAACAGACATAAAAGTGGGAAGAAGAGAGAAGAACCTTGCAAATATAAAGATGGTATAAACAGTTTAAATTTGAGTTCCATCATTAGTCAACATGGAAAAATCCACACAGCAAAGAAAAAGCACAAAAATACAGAGTGTGATAAATCTTTTAAATCTAAACATCAAAATAAGCTAAAAGAAACCAATAGTGGGAGGGAATGTCATCAATGCAGGAAATGTGGGAAATGCTTCAGTTTGATCTCAAGCCTAAGTAGACATAAGAGATCTCATACAGAGACACCCTACAAATGTACTGAATGTGACAAATCCTTTACCCTTGGCTCATCTTTTAAAATACATCAGAGAATACACACAGGAGAGAAACCTTACAAATGCAGTGAATGTGACAAATCATTTATGAATACCAAATATCTTAAAATACATCAGAGAATCCACACAGGCGAAAAACCCTACAAATGTAGCGACTGTGACAAATCCTTTACCCAGAAATGCCATCTTAGAAGTCATCAGAAAATTCATACAGGTGAGAAACCTTACAAATGTTGTGAATGTGACAGATCCTTTGCCGACAAAGGCCATCTTAGACGACATCAGAGAATACACACAGGTATGAAATCTTACAAGTAGAGTAAATGTGACAGATCCTTTATCATTTCCTCACCTCTTAGAAAACATCAGAGAATTCATACAGGAATGAAGCTGTACAAATGTACTGAATGTGACAAATCCTTTAGCAGTGGCTCAGCTCTTAGAAAACGTCAGGGAATACAGACATGAGAGAAACCTTGAAATGCAGTAAATGTGAGAAATCCTGTTCTGTTAACTAATCTCTTAGAAAACATCAGAGAATCCTTTCAGGATTAGGGAATGTGAGATAATCATTTGTTCAGAATGCCAGCCTTAGAATACATCAAGGAAATACACAAAGGAAACCTTACACATGTAATGGATGAGAAGTCTTCACCTGCCGCTCAGGAATGAGAAAGCAGCTGAAAATTCATACTGGGGAGAAAAGTTTCCAGAGAATATAATACGGCCTATGTTTTAACCAAGCTCTGTTCTTGATAGTTGAGGCTCCACACTAGAGAATCATTATGAACATGAAGAACTTGTAGAAAGTTTTAAATAGTTTTCAGATCTTAGAAAATAAATCAAGAGTTTATGCTGATGGAAATTCTGAAAATGTGGCTATGTACAAAAATATTTATTGCAACTTTTTATTTGTTCAACTTCAAATTCTTCATAATGAAGACAAAATGGAGAGACCTGAGGAATATGCTGTTGTGTAACGTTTCCTGGAGACTGAAATGATGCACAGAATAGAGGCTGATTAAAGCAGGAAATACATGACTCAAAACAGCTTCAAGAAAGCCCTGAAACAAACAAGATTACATGTGCTTAACTCAAATGAAGAAACTCAGACAAATTATGATGCTTACAAGGGGATTTGAGCCACCAAGACTGAATGCACTTTAATCTGTATATATGCATACAGGTACAGTGTGCTCCAGGTGTGCATTTTTGCCTAAGTTGTGCCATGTGCTTGTTTCAAGTTTTGTGAAATCAACTATGTTTGAGTCTCTTGTTCTCCAGTGAGCAAATGCCTCTCCATATTTCTGTAAACAATTTCATTAAAGCTCATTGGTTCAGAAAGTTGGACTTGATTCTGTTTTCAGTTTCCAATTGGGGTGAGTAGATGTATGTGTATGTTACATTTCTCCAGGAAGAATATTTTATAAAACATGTTGAAACCATTCATTTTCCTTCCAAATTTTACACAGAAAATTGATTATAGAGGAGCAGTTTTCAACCTGGGGTTTGTGACCCCTTTGTGATTAGACATCCTTTTCACTGGGGTTGCCTGTGATATAGGAAAACACATATTTCAATGGTCTTGGTCACTGAGACACGAATCCTTCTATCTAGCTCAGGTAGGTCTGCCCACATGCAGATCCACCCACATAGGAGTACTTGGAACTGTTTCAAAGGGTTACAGCTTTAGGAAAGTTGGAACTATTGTATTAGAGAGAAGGCATTCGAGTCAACAAAACTAGAGAAGCTTGTGTTCAATCCTCTAGGCTTAATTTCACAGTAGTACTTGGCTAAAGTATAAAGACTCCACACATAGAATATAGGGGCTATCGAAGCCTCAGAAAGCTGGCTGCTCCCTTCCTTGCATCCCAGGAGGATCGAGCTCTGAAAAAGGAGAAATGAAAATACAACTACAAAACTGTCAAGGACAGACATCCAAACTGGATTGTGTCCCTGAATAGTACTGAACTCATGCTAATAATTCAATCAAACTCCATTGACCTTCAGAACAATGCTACCAGTGGCAAACACTATAGACCATTGTGAAGTCCTTTTCTCCTGTTGTGCCCACCTTATCACCCTGCTCTACAAGCCCTCAGAAATAAATTGAATTTCAATTCCTTTTTAAAAATCCTTTACACACTACTAATATTGTAGAAATACCATGAAGTTCATATGAAAGAGAACTCAGTAAGGGGATTTGCTAAGGACTCACTTCAGTTTAACTTCCTGTGTAAGTCCATCCATAGAAATATAATGAAATGGGACCGGAGAGATGGCTCGATGGTTAAGAGTACTGACTGCCCTTCCACACGACCCAGCTTCAATCTAGCAACCACATGGCAGCCCACAGCTGTCCATAATTCCTGCTCCAGGGGAATCCAATACCCTCATAAAGGCATTCACTCATGCAGGAAAAACACCAGTGTACATAAAATAAAACAATTGATAAAAGATGAAGCTAAAGCTTTAATGAGAACATCTGAGAGCAAGACACAATGTACATGTGGTAGAAATTCTGTACCTGGGCTTTTTTTTTTTGGTTGGGAGACTTTTAATGACTGCTTCTATTTCATTAGGGCTTTTTGGTTTATTTAAGTTGCTTATCTGTTCTTGATTTAATTTTGGTAAGTGAAATCTATCTAGAAAATTAAATTAAAAATATTTCCTCATAGAAGTGATTCATTATTACTTAGCATCATTCCTCAATCTTCTGGAAGCATCTTGACTAGGTTATTGACACACAGAGGAAGTAGTAACCTATGTGTTTCTTCTGTATTTTTCAATAATATGTAAAGGACTTACCAAGTCTAAGATTTTCCCATGGTATCTGTGTTTTATTGTGTGTTTGACCTCATAATCATATAGCCATTAAAACTGAGTTTGAGATCTGGCTTTCCTCCTTGGTTCCTTTTATCCTTTACTGTGTTAATCTGTGTTCTATTTCTTCCTAGTTCCTTTAGGAGTTTATCTCTAGATCTTGTTGAACTTTCCATTATGACATTTATATTTCTTCTAAGATTTTCATATCATGGAGCCTCTTTTTATTATGTGCTTTCTTTCTTTTAGCATTCTGGGTGATTAATTACTGGTAGTATTTTTCCCTCCAGATTGAAATAGCAGTTTGCTGTATTTTTGTGTTGGACATGGTTGTGACTACTCAGCTCTCCTCTATTTATCTATTCTTTATATAGAATGTCTTTCTCCTGTGTTCTTGTTGATAATTTCTCTGAGTTTTCTATGTATATTTTGTCTCTAATTATGATCTGACCTGTATTGTTTCATAACTTTATTCATATGAACCTCCTTCTCCATGAACTTTAAGAGCCTATGTTTCTGGGTGCAATGTTAATGTTCATAGTTATGTTTGTTCATCACTTAAAACATAATTTTTTTATGGGCAGAACTTATTCATTTATTATACATAGCCATAAAATACCTAAAAATAGCTTGATGTGTATGAACATTTGCTCATTTTCTTTTTATGTCAAGTAGACGGAATTAAACAAATAATATCATATTAAACTCCATGCATTACACAAAATATATTGATGTCTTTTTACTACAGAAGATGGATTTGTGTCCTTATATATTGTGGGAACATGTCTTTATGGGACTTTAGTCAGATCCAGCCAAGTTGTTTGGTTCATACTTGAGAGGGAGAGTGTGGATTGAGAAAGGGCAGGTAAAGACACTAAGAAAGAGACAGAAACAAAGGATAGAGTCAAGAGAGCAAGCCAGCAAATACTGAATGCTCCAAGTTTATTCTTCAACATTCTTAAGTGCCCAAGCTAAAAGTGGGACATGACAGAAGACCTCTATTATCATGTATAAGGAGCAAACAAACTTTCTTCCCTTAATCCTCCAAGCATTGGAAACCACACCTGTTATCCAGCCTTGAGGGTCAAGAGTAAATACACCTCAGCTCAAGTCTGTTGTTATTTAGATAAAATGTCTGCTAGGAAGACCACAACATCCAAACTAGACTGTGTCTATGCATGCCTCTGACTAATTTTTAGTTCCCATGATTTAGTCATTCAGCAATGAACATTAGAACACTGTTGCCCACTGTATCCTGTGTCTTACCTTAGAAATTCCACTTTACAAGACTCTCCAAATGATTGAATTTCAACCCCTTTTGTTAATCCTTTAAACAATGTTAATTTTGTAGACATACCAGAAGATTCATAATAAAATAAAACTCAGGAAAATATTTTATGTGTGAGTCCATACATATAAATTCCAGGAAACCATTAAACTTTAAAGAGATAACCTAGGAACAAGAGAATGTGTGCAGTACCCATTTACAGCTTAGAAATCTTCAAGAGGAATTGAAGATCACTTTGAAGTACTGAGAAAAATTGGGGATGTACTTAGTCCATCTCCAGAGCACTATATTAGAATACTGGTACTAAAAATAGTGAAACTTAGATATTTTAGACTTTGGCTAAGTGGTGTGCTGTAATGAAGGAAACCACATCATTATATAAATCCAGGGATTTCAATGCAAGAGGATAGTCATATTCAACTGATAGAAAAATATTGTTTACAGGTATTTTGGTGTTTTAGTATTGGAGTTTGTGGAAAAATGAACTCAAATGGTTGGTACAATCAAGCAAATATTCCATAGCTATAATTCAGGAATTCGGCAATTCTTGAGTTCCCACTTGCTCAGGTCACCTCTTTCTGTTGTCTTGACCCCATTGCTCATCACTCCTCCCTCTATACAACTGGATTCCAGGAGTTTGACTCTGCTTAGTGGTGAATCTTTGCTTCTGCTTCCATCAGCTACTGGATTAAGGCTCTATGATGCATAAACTGTCATTGATGTTTTTTATTTTAGCCATTCTGAAAGGAGTAAGATGGTATCTCAGAGTTGTTTTGATTTGCATTTCCATGATGGCTAAGGATGTTGAACACTTTAGATGTCTTTCAGCCATTTTAGATTCCTCTATTGAGAATTGTCTATTTAGTTCTGTACCCCAGCTTTTAATTGGATTGTTTAGTGTTTTGGAGAATAGCTTTTTGAGTTCTTTGTATATTTTGGAGATCAGCCCTCTGTCAGATGTGGAGTTGGTGAATATCTTTTCCCAGTCTGTGGGCTGTTGTTTTGTCTTACTGACTATGTCCTTTGCCTTACAGAAGATTCTCAGTTTCAGGAGTCCCATTTATTAATTGTTGATCTCAGTGTCTGTGCTACTGGTGTTATGTTCAGGAAGCGGTCTCCTGTACCGATTAATTCAAGAGTATTTCCCACTTTATCTTTTAGTAGGTTCAGTGTGGCTGGGTTTATGTTGAGGTCTTTGATCCATTTTGACTTAAGTTTTGTACAGGGCAAAAGGCTTGGGTCTATCTGTAGTCTTCTACATGTTTGCATCCAGTTATGCCAGCACCATTTGTTGAAGATGTTCTCTTTGTTCCAGCGTATATATTTGGATGGTTTGTCAAAACTCAGGTGTTCGTAGGTGTGTGGGTTAATATCAGGGTTTTCAACTCTATTCCATTGGTCTCTCTGTCCATTTTTGTGCCAATACCAAGCTGTTTTCAGGACTATAGCTCTGTAATAGAGCTTGAAGTCAGGGATGGTGATGCCTCCAGAAGTTCCTCTATTATACAGGGTTGTTTTGGCTATCCTGGGTCTTTTGTTTCTCCATATAAAGTTGAGAATTGTTCTTTCAAGATCTGTGAAGAATTGTTTTGGGATTTTGATGGAGATTGTATTGAATCTGTAGATTGCCTTTGGCAAGATTGCCATTTTTACTATGTTGATCTTACCTATCCAAGAGCATGGGAGATCTTTCCATTTTCTGGTATCTTCTTTAATTTCTTTCTTTCTTTTTTTTAGTTTTCAAATGTCCACTTTATTCCACATGACACCTAACCAGATTATCATTCACATTTGAGGAACAGATGCCCATGAGATAAACTAGAGAAATATAGTTCAATTTTACACCGTGTCAGGCACCCACAAGTGTACGACAATGCAGAAATATGGGTGTGATCACCACTACATTTTACAGAAAAAGAAATAGCAATAACTTTCAAAAAGTAGTAGATTCACCTGTTCCATAAAATACAGGTATGCAACTGTTACAAAGCAGTAACAAATGTTTTATAAAATGTTTTATTTCATGCTACTCTGCTGTTACATAGGGCATAACATTTTCACAAGGCTTTTTTGGGACTACAGTCAATGATTTGCAAACAGAATATAGTGGGGTCCCTCTCTCTAAAGAACAATCAATGGACAAACTGGACACCCTCTCACATGTGCACGAATCTGCATGGAAAAGTACTGATTTAGACCTGGACTTGTGTACTTTATTTTCCCTTTCTAGTGTATCA